TGATGATTAAATTTGTGGGCTGGAGGCGGCAGGAATTACAGAGTGTTTACCAACTCTAAGAATTAATTCTTATTTGTTACATAGGTTCTGTATATTTTATAAAAAAAACCTTTCTGTATAATATTACCCTTATTATAATTTTGAGAATAAAAATTGCCAATCATCTATTATCACATATCACAAATTATTAATACTTTTTTGTGTTATTTTTCTTCTTTCTTATCAAGAAGTGAATCAAGCCACCAAAGCTGCTGATTGCTAATAAACATAAACTGAGAAATTATTGAATTTAGAATTGAGCCTGACATTTTTATTATTTGTATAATTTTATTTACCCTTTTATCATTTATTGTAAAATGTCATTATTAAATTTACAACTATTATAAGAAGTAGACAGACTTTAAAATTGCTGGCAATTCAGTTAATATCGAATCAGTTCTTGAATCTAGACCATTGAAAGACTGGGCCACTGCTTATGTAAGGAAATTCTTGCAACAGAAAAACAAAGAATGAAATTATTAGAAAAATTTAGGTTTTGTAAAATTCAAGGTTGGTCCAAAACATGTTGAAAGTGGCACAACTAGGTCAGCAATAGCATAAAGACAAATCAGAATTATTGTTAGCAATGAGTGTTATTGTTAGATTATGATTATGATCAATAGTATATTTATAAAAGCAAGGAGGACCTGTTGCAGTATTATTAATTGTGATGAGAATAATCAAACTGTAGAACATGTTATAAAGCTCATATCCTAGCACCATCCTCCTCATTTCCTGAAACACCTGCAGATAATTTGAATATATGTTTGATGGATCAGGTAATTTCATTGGGAAATGTAGTGATGATGAAATTACAGGCCTTTATCTGATGGATCAGATGAATTTTAAGGTTGTTTTTATTGAAAGATCAAGGAGAAAATATTGCTGTAAAATACCTGATATACAGTCAAACCTTGTCACAGTGGATAAATGGGACACATATAAAATCCACTGTGACAAGGTTATAATTATAATTAGTAATTTTGCCACAACAGATTTTTTATGTTTTTATATGTGACAAGAATTTAATTACAAGGTTTGACTGTATATGCCTTGATTTATAAATGCATCTGTGAAATTCAAATATATGGGGTAAGTGAAAAATTCAATAACAATAACAATAAATAAATGTATATACATATCCACTGATTTCTGCAAGGTTACACCATTTTAGACTGTTTTTGGGGTATATTTTTGAAACTTTATTACATTTTTTGCTGTCTTGATATGTGTAATCAGCCCCTCAATTTGTTATTTTTGGAGTAAATATCCCTATTTTACATTCTTTTTGAAGGGTAATATTATATACAGAAAGGTTCTTTTTATGAAATATACAGAACCTTATGTGACAAATAAGAATTAATTCTTAGAGTTGGTAAACACTCCATAATTCCTGCCACCCCCAGCCCACAAACTTAATCATCACATCCATCAGGAAATTAATTTAGCATAAACTTGCATAAATCTTACAATGCTGACATAATATTGTGTAAATCTTACAGCACCAACATAAGTTTTACACTTACAATTGACATGTGCAAATTTTTTTTATATTTTCTAGATGTCATTGATAAACGTCACATAGGTTTTACAAAAATTTTGAGCTACAATTTAGTTTCTATTTTTGTAGAATGAATTGCCATTTTTGGTGGGTTCTGTATATTTCATAAAAAGAACCTTTCTATATATAATATTTTCCCTTTTTGAATTCTACTAATACCAAATTAATCACTTTTATTAGTAAACTAATCACTTTTTTACAGTAAGTAGTGCAAGCATGTATAATACAGCTCATGATGTGTCCAATAAAAATATAAGATAAAAGTCCAATAATATATATATATATGTATATCCTCCTGTCTTGCCCACAGCTAAGGATTCTCAAATTCCACTCACCAATAGGAGCTTGTCCAATACTTTACTGCTCACCCTGGAGCTAACCAATTCTGCTCACCAATAGGAGCTAACAAATTCCACTCATCAATAGGAGCTATCTATATGTGCTTTCCCTTCCTTTCAGTACTAATACCAAGTACTGTTGGCACTAGCCTAAGATAATAAAATAAGAAGAATATATACAAGAAATATTTACAACTATACCACTTGAGGTGTCCCTACAAGCAGCATAGAACAATCAAATGGGGGGGGTTTCCTGTTAACTATGCAAAAATTTGTAATAAGGTAAAATGTGTTTATTTAATTATTAACAATGGGGGGGGGGGGAAGAAAAAAATTTTTTTATTCAATTGTTATAGATTATTATGAATGTTATTAACATGATCTACCTTATTCTCACTTGGTCTAAAACCAAGCCTTTTTATACCTCTTGAGGTATTACAAATAACATGACTTTTACTCTATTTTATCCAATAAAATATGCTTATTAATCCTATTTTCTGTATTACTAGCTTACTATTTGCTAATTACTAATGCTACTAAATATTTGGATCAACTGAGCAATACAAATAATTTGATTAATAATTCGAAGTAAATAATTATGTCATAAAGATAAGTTAAATATAGAA